ACAAAAAAATTTTAAGTTAAAAACAATAAAACAGTTGGAAAAAAGCTTACAGAATAAGGATATAGAGAAAGAAGATAGTTTTTAGCGTATAATGTACTTACCTTTTAAGTAAGTGTTATAGAAGAGTCAAAAAATTTTTTAAAAATTGAAATGTTCATAAAGTTAAAAAGTTACAGGAAGATAAGGTTAGTCTATGATTGAAGAAATAAAAACGTTCATATATTTAGTGTAGCCTAAGTGTACAGTGCTGATAAAGTCTACAGGAGTGTACAGCAATGGCCTCGGCCTTCACATTCACTCGCCAGTCACTCACTGACTCACCCAGAGCAACTTCCAGTCCTACAAGTTCCATTCAGGTGTCCTCATCAGGTGTAGCATTTCTTAATCTCTTATACCATATATTTACTGGACCTTTTCTATGTTGAGATGCTCTAATACCGTTGTGTTATAATTGCCTACAGTATTCAGTACAGTCACATGCCACACAGGTTTGTACTCTAGGAGCAATAAGCTAGACCATATAGCCCAGGTGTATACTAGGCTACGCTATCTAGGTTTGTGCAACCACACTCTACAGTGTTAATACTATGACCCAGTTCTCAGAAGTTAATATTTGCTCTCAGAGAGAAAAAGGAATGTGTTGCCCAAACACATGTCCTCCATTAACTAATTGGCCACCAACTCTTTTGAAGTTTCTTTCCTTGACCCACATCTCTCCTTTCTGAAGGAAGGAGTCAGTGAAAACAGTTTCAGTAACTCCTTATTTCCCCCCCAGAGCTGAAAGGGATTATTATTGGCTTTATTAGTGGTTAAAAATAAAAATTATTACTGATTAGTAAATCTCAAATTTACTTTTAATTATGAGGTAGCATTGAATGTAAAATCAACTGCCTTGTTAGCTTTTAGTGAAATCCTTTTAAAATGCACAACTGAAAATACATCAGAAAAAAATCTTTAATGTGAATTTCCTGGGACCCCATGTCTACTCAGCATTTCCCTTTATTCCAATTGTACTGGGTCACCTGCTGCTTCAGCAGAGAGTCCCTCATGCCTTTGATCACTACACTGATGGGGCTTTTATAACACTTGATATTTATAATCAGAGAACTGCATGCAGGTTATTGTTACATATTCAGAATGTGCTTTTCCTTTCAATGAGAATGAGAATTATTCCCCCGATAACAATAGGAGTGATGGAGGTATTCAATGGCAAAAGTGAGATTCCAGTAGGACCACCATGAATGTAAGTGCCCGGGACAGGATCCTGCTTAGTACAGAATGATGGACATAGGCTGGTATCTACTGAAGAGGAAAATGAAATGAGATCACATGAAATGAAGGCAAACTTTTATCTACTACAGAGAAAGAACCTCCTGGGAAAATATGGGCCTGCTAGGAAATAGTACTGGGTATCAAAGGTGATTTCTGTTTCCTGTAGTCAGTTCTGAACTAATTCCCAGAATGGCATGAAGGGATGCCAATTTGAACAGAAGACAAACTGTGCTCTCTGTCCATTTGAAATCACATCACCTACAAGAGTAATACAAATGGCTTGGATTTTTTATAGTCACTTACTTCTAAGGAGGTCCAAGGGCTTCCTACCCACGATCTCATTTACTAGCACACTGTGAACTCTGTTCTCCCACGTGCAAGAGAAGTGCCACTTCCCTGGGTAGAAGAGAGAGAGGAACTTCCTCTATTCCCCTCTCTCTATTTAACTCTCTCTGGACAAGCAAAGAGGAAAATATGCTGGCTGTGCCCAAACCGGTGTCATGAAAACAGCGGGGTCTTTTGAGCCAGAAGACATGTACTTGATCTGGGCTTGCTCTGCCACTTTTTATCTGGGTGAACTTGGCCGAGTCATTTAACCTTTCTGGGCCTCGGTTCCCTTGTCTCTAAAATGGGCACAGTGACTCCTTCCCTGAAGCATTGTTATGTGAAATAGAACTAAGACAGGTAAAATGCCTCAAACAATGGTTGACATATACTTGATGTTCAATAAGAGTATCGTTTGTGTTTATTATATATTTAGTTGAGCCAAAGCCCAATCTCAAGCCTTCTTCTTTTCTTCCATTCCTACTCTGCCATTTTCTCTCTTTCAAGCTCACTTTGGTGAGAATTTAGAAAAGTGGCAGAGCAGAAGCATAGACCTGCCTAAGAAAAGCCCAGGCTAGGAGTTTTCCTACCCTAATCATAAATGTACACAGCGGGCAGGGCCCCTCCTCTTTGCCTTTCTGCTCTTACATGAGAAGGGCTGCGTTCATCCAGTGAAAGTCATTCAACCGATAATCCCAATCTTATAGCTGTCAGCGAGGTACAGTAATTTCCAGAGGAAAAAAACAGATAAAAATCTATCTTTAAAAACTCCCTGGCCAGGCATGGTGGCTCACATCTGTAATCCCAGAACTTTGGGAGGCTGAGGCGGGCGGATCACGGGCTCAGGAGATCAAGACCATCCTGGCTAACACGGTGAAACCCCGTCTTTACTAAAAATATGAAAACAAAATTAGCTGGGCAAGGTGGCAGGCGCCTGTAGTCCCAGCTACTCGGGAGGCTAAGGCAGGAGAATGGCGTGAACCTGGGAGGTGGAGCTTGCAGTGAGCCGAGATCCAGCTACTGCACTCCAGCCTGGGCGACAGAGCAAGACTCCAAAAAAAAAAAAAAAGCCCTAATATTAGGAATCTAGAACATTATTTATTGAAAATTGGTGTGGGCCGGGCGCGGTGGTTCAAGCCTGTAATCCCAGCACTTTGGGAGGCCGAGACGGGTGGATCATGAGGTCAGGAGATCGAGACCATCCTGGCTAACACGGTGAAACCCCGTCTCTACTAAAAAATACAAAAAATTAGCCGGGCGTGGTGGTGGGCGTCTGTAGTCCCAGCTACTGAGGAGGCTGCGGCAGGAGAATGGCATGAACCCGGGAGGCGGAGATCGTGCCACTGCACTCCAGCCTGGGCGACAGAGCGAGACTCCGTCTCAAAAAAAAAAAAAGAAAATTGGTGTGACTTGCTAACTAGACCTCAGACATACTAACATCTTAAATGTCTGGCCTCATTGGTCCCTGCAATGTCCAAGGCACTGTCTGGATCCTGAGAGCCAAGGTCCTCCCCTTGAGAACCTCACAATACAGTGGGAAAATATTTCTACACCTATGGGAAGTAGAGTGAGCACCAGCCATGGGCTTTTCTTCTTTCCCAGCCAACCCCAGCCAGCTGCAGAATTGAGCTGAGGGAGGTGAGCGATGGTATTTAGAGCCCTATTTTGTCATTCAGCATTTCAAAATTATGTCCTAAGATTTTTAGAAGAAGAGTAACTATTAGCTTTGGAAGAAAATCACACATAAATCACCACTGTTATGTTACTTTTTCCCTCTGAACTCCCCCCTGGCATTACAAATTAGTTCTCACATTACTTACTAAAGTACTCTGAACTTTATAAACACAATACAACTTAATTATCCCTTTCTAAGGTGGTTTCTACAGTTTAAAGAGTCTTTGAATGAAAGCATGTTTTCACAGCTGTATATTCACATAGGAAAATAACTATTATTATCATCATCGTAAGTTTCATGGGATTTTTTTTGGTACCAAATATATTTATTTTCTAGAGAACAATAAAAACCTAGTTGTTTTTACATGCCTTCACTGCAATTAGGACACCAATGTTGCAAATGAGTTTGTAGAGAATGTGTTCCTAATAGACACAGCCTTCTTTGCAGTTGTTTGGAAGCATTCCCCAAACCCTCTAGAAAATCAACATCAAGGGACCTAAACCTCCTTCTCTGTACGGATGCCATTCTCGGGATCCACCCCGGCACCTTCTACACAGATTACATGAAAGGTACGTCTTGTCTGCTTTGGCTGGTTATCATTCTTGTTTCAGAATGATTTCAGAAAAGACTATAAGCTTGTGGCAGAGTGAATTTGTGATCTTATCCAATCATCTGGGCTGTTTGCAAAACTTCAGTAGGTGGCAGCGTTTTGTTGATAAATGTTTTGTTAGCCAAGTGATCTCATTTAGTGCAACTGTTGCAATATTAATAAACTGAACTTACGATCGTGTTTGCCAGGACTGAAAATATTGCCTTTCTATCCAGTGGGTGCTCTTATCTGAACTGACAGCAGCATTCATTGTCTTAGAGATGAAGCGGGGGTGGTGTGATTGTGTGTATGCTCTTACAAAGAGAAAGTGATGGAGGCAGAGAAAGGGGTTAGGAAGGGAGGCTGCAGACGAAGAAAGAGGATATAAAGGAGCTATGATAAGATGTCTTGCCCACTACCTGGCTGGTTCTGACAAAACTCTGGGCTGCTTCAAGTGTCCACCCCTTCCTCGGGTCCCCTGTGTGGCTCACAATGACCTGCAGGTGGTCCCTGAGATCCTAAGGACACTAGGTCATGGTCACCGGCTAAGCAGCAGCTCAGACCCTTTGCAGCAAACATGGGGAGGCTCACAAGGGCTAAGTACCCCAATACCCACTCATGCGGCCACACGAGAGTGTTCCAGATATGTCCCTAAGCTTACCAGGGCTGGGAAAGACAATATTCCATTACTTCTCTGAATTAAAACAACTTCTGCCAGGCCTATTGTGACCAACCAGGAGAGCTCCAGAGTGACCTCTAGAAAGAGGGGGTTGGGGGGCAGCAAATCCTTCATCAAAAGCTCCAGCCTGTCACTCAAGGCTCTTCAAATCTGACCCAATCTGTCACATCCCTTTTCTTCACTCTTCTCTGCAAGCCTTTCTTTAAGGGTTGGGAAGCCCTGGCCAGTAAACAGAGCACTAAGGACACTTGAGAAGTGTCCACTCTTTCTCAGAAGACCCAAGAAAGCTACCCACACTCAAAAGTTTTCAGAGGCAGCTTGGCTAGGATTTCAGGAGGATCCCTTGCGGGAATCACATATATTGAGCCCAGAATATGCCTTTTAATTTTTTGAATTCCAGAACCTCGCTGCTGCTGTTCTCTTTGCCCCTCTAGAGATGCCCTTTATTCCACCCCCTTCACCTGTCAGCAAGACGAATTCCAGGAGTAGATTCAAGTCCTTCCTCAGCGATAAAGGTTTCTCTCTGATCACCCCAGCTGGACTGAACATCTTTGTTTTATGAAGACTCACTGCAATCATTGCTAAGCCAACTGAGTGGCCTTTACTGCCTTATAACAGCAAGGAAACTTGCCATTGCAGCATCTGGGCTGCAACCTCTGAAAGCAGGAGGCCCGTGTCATGCATGTGCTTACAGGTACTCAGTTAAAGCTTAACCAACACATCATTTGAAGTGCTTTTCGTTGGCACCTTTCACACCACTTATTTTTACTTTGTATTACAATTATAAAAACACTGTATATATAAATCCTGCTTTCCTCTGCAGACTCTAAGCTCATTACATGCAAAAGCCTATCTGAATTATCTTTGTCTATGCTGAACACCTAGAACAATGGCGTAACAAAAATGTCCTTTGATTAATTGATGCCTTTATATTCAAATTAACATGCCAATCGGTCTCATTGCCACCAGAGAAGGACTCTTTCAGTTCTCTTTGTAAAGTCGTTCCTCTGAGATAACCACAGTTAAATTCTTCACCAAGGAAAGGTCCCCATACATTATTTCAGCAATTGTAGCACAAGACCCAGGCCTCTGAACAGTTACAGTAATGACTAACCAAACAGGTAAAACATTAAAGATCTCCTTTGCCTCCAAGTTGGCATAAAGCCTTTTACTTAACACCAGTTAGTAATCTTTCTTATTTCTATTTATATATTTTCAAAGCAAAAAGATGACCATTTAAAAGGAGACTATCTCTTTCTTCCTTATCCAGTCCTATTAAAATTAATTAAGAATTTTGGAAGACACTGTAACTGGTAACAGAATATATTAGATATTCCCATGTGGCCCAAAAAAGCACATTATCTTCCCTGAGAGTACCCCAAGTTACTAGTTGGCCGATATAGAATCAAGTCCATTTTCCTTGCCCACTGCCTACTGCCCAATATGAGATGCTTTTCTAACACTGCTTTGTTAGTTCATCGTGTCAGAATGAGTTAGAGAAGTTTGAGAGTACATGATCTCCCATGTGTACAGATTATCGCCATTATGTTCAAATATTTGCCTCAAATTCAGTAAGCACTGATGTGCATGCTGAAGGTTTTAAAGAGTTGGAAAGATGATAGGCTTGGAGAAAGGATTTGGATGCTAGGAATAGGTGAGCAATCTTCATTTATAAAGCAACCATTAATTCTGGCCATTCTCTTAGATACATAGTATGAGGTGGGAAGGAAAAGCAAGGGCTCTAGTGGATTTTTTTTTTTTTTTTTTTTGATACAGAGTTTCATTCTGTAGCCCAGGCTAGAGTGCAGCAGCATGATCTCGGCTCACTGCAACCTCCACCTCCTGGGTTCAAGCAATTCTCGTGCCTCAGCCTCCAGAGTAGCTGGGATTACAGGTGCCCACCACCACACCTGGATAATTTTTGTATTTTAGTAGAGACAGTTTCAACATATTGGCCAGGCTGGTCTCGAACTCCTGACCTCGGATGATCCAGCTCTCAAAGTGCTGGGATTGCAGGTGTGAGCCACTGTGCCCGGCCTCTGGTGGCATTAAGTCTTCCAAATACATTGTCCAGGTGCTTCTGTGCTCTGTACAAATATGCTTTATAAAACCTTTCAGAGGTTCGGAGTGGGGAAACAACTATCCTTCAACTTCTGCCCCATAACCTAAAACTTGCATCCCTTCATAGAATATTGTACTTAAATGATTGCCTTTCTTCCACCCTGCCTTTCCCCTCTAAACCAACCAGTGCCCCCATGTGCACATGTACACACACATATACATACACCGTAATATCCTTGGATCCCCAGAGCGTTCTCACCACAAGAACTACAGATTCATGAGAAAGCCAAACGTGGAGTTCAGCTCCACTTTCTTTAACAAAGATACTCCCAATGTGCATCCTACAGCAACAAACTAGTGTGGGTGCTCCCACCCCAGACAGATCCATAATCATACTCACTCGAGACCAAGCCATCACTGTTGTTTCAATTGTATTCACTAACCAGTGAAATCATGATCATTCATTCTGCTTCAGACTTCCAAGCCGTGTGTCTTTGGAAACTTTGCATTCAAGTTGATGTGCCCATAGTTCACTTCAGGTCATCATGAAGATTGTCAAGTCCCAACAGAAAATTGGCTATCACATTCAAGGAACAACGCATTGCTCCATGCTTCAGCCCACACAAATCCCAACTTGTTGAAGCAATTTAAACAGCTACACCATGGACTGAAGAAAAAAATTCGCATTGCAGAAAATTTTAATCCCTTGGCTGGGATGGCATAAAGGAACTACCTAATTATAGGAGAACAAGCAGAAGTGGTTTGCATAACTTGTCCCCGTAACTATTTGTCCCTCCTCTTGTCATCTTCCATGTAGGGGCACCATTATTACTGGGGAATTAAAGTTCTTATATAATGGATAGTCTGCTAGTCTCCTTTTTTTTTTATATTTAGCAATCACCAGCCTAATGGAAACTCTAGAATTCACACTGCCAACCTGACAACTTGACTGGGCACTGGATGTGTTGGAAGCACAACTCCTAATTTTAGGATGTAGCCTTATAACATGGCATCCTATGGAAAGGAGAAGAGCCTGATTATCCATTTGAAAATTCTCACTATTTTTCTTATTAGTGACGAAACCTTAAAATCTGACACCTTGTCTACTTCTCTCAAGGTGTCATTATTTAAATCACTCATTATTAGAGCATCGACAATCAAATGAAATTAATTTCATATCAGTATGGCCCTATTTGTCTGGCAGAAAGTGACATTGCAAAATTCATCACAAGAACAACTTTCACTTCATAATTGAGAGAAGTTGCGTGGTTGTCTTGAGTCCAAGAAACCAGCTGAGAGACATGCCAGAAGGAGTAGTGGGCAGGAGACAAAAATCTGGGTACCAGCTCCATTTCTATTCTAAATTAGATGGCTTTATGTAAATCACTTTTCTTCTCTGGGCTTCTGTTGTCTTACCGGCAAGATGAGGCCAGACATTTGCTAAGGGCTCTCCAGTTTTAACATTCTGTGATGCTATTAGCATTCTATGGTACTGATGCTGGAAGTCACAGAGATTGTGGTTGACCACGAAAGGTTACAGAAATTCTGGAATCTTTTCCAAGTAGATATGAACCAAAGGTGACCAGCTAGTCAGCGTGCTGAAAGGAACTACTTGAGTTATGCCCACAAAGGAGTCAACTTGACTTGGTGATAGTGGTGAGGGGTAAACTAGGACTCTCAATGCAAGTTCAGGAAGGTGCTCACGGTTTCATTGTGTGTGTAGCACCAACTCTGGAGATAATTTTGAGGTGAATAAATCTTAATTTTGGCCCACCACCTCTCCTGCACCTCTTCCTCACTTTACTTGCCTTCCAAGTTTCCAGGACCTTTAGTGTTAGAATGTGATTGAGATAGACTGGAATTGCCACATGATGTTTTTTACATTAATCTTTTCCTTGCAGACTCTTTTCACTCCAAATTCATGATCACTAATCTCAAAAAGGCCCTAAATCCTGTCTGAAAGTCATTCTAGATGCCCCATTCCATTAACTTTTTACTCCCCCAATTATTTCATATCTTCTCAAAGCACTAATGCTTCCTCCCTCATCTTCACTCTCATCTGAAAAATTTGCTTCCTACACTAGGTAGAAAATGGAGGCCGTTAGTCGGGTACTTCAACAAGCTCTTACTGCCATATTCACCTACTTACCTGCAGCAATGCCCACATATCTTGCTTCCTTTCCTCAGGGGAATGCAGCTCTCTGAACTAAGACCAAGCCCTCCACGTTTCCACTAAATCTCAACCCTTCCCTCCACACAAAGGCATTTCTTTAGCAATTTTCCCAACTCTCTGCTGTTTTTTCCAGTTGTTTTCCTGTTTCATGGATTATTACCATTAGCACACAATTATTTTCACCATCTTATAAAAGAAAACAAACAAACAAAAAAACTACTCACAAAACTCCACTTTTCTCTCTACATACTATTTCTTTGCTCTTCTTTACAACAAAACTCCTTGAAAGACTTGTTTATACTTACTGTCTCCAATTCCTCTTCTCTTATTCTGTCTTAAAATCAGCCTAATTAGGCTTTCACCTGTATCAATGCATCCATTCCACTCAAGTTTCTTTTGTCAAGGCCAACAAAGACTTTCACATGGCTAAATCCAATCATTAATCCTCAGTTTTCATCTTACTTGATTCTTCAGCTCCTCCTCCTCCTGCTTGAAACACTTTCTTCATTTGGCATTCATGACACAAGACTATCTTGGTTTTTCTAATACCCTATGGTCCTTTGCTAGTTTTCACACATCTTTTCGATCATCTCTTCAACCTTCTACTTTTGGTGTGCTCCAAGGCTCAGTCCTTGAATTCTTTTTATCTATGCTTTTACTGTACTTTAAATACCATATACACACTAATAACCTCTAATTTTTTTAATCACCAGCTGAGATACCTCACCTAAACTCTAGACTCAAACATTCAATTGCCTGTTAATATTTAGATATATAGCAGAATTATAGATTTAGCATGTCCAAAACTAAATTCCCGATGTTCCTACTTAAATCTGCACCATCTCAGTACAGGCTACTTCATCCTTTCAGATGTTTAATCAAAAATCATGGAGTTTTCCTTGACCTCTCTCTTTCTCTCACTGTCCACATATGATCACTCAACAAAACTCACCAGTTTTACCTTCTAAATATGCTTAGAATCACTTCTCAGCCTCTCTCCCACAGTCACCCTGATCTGATATAATGTCATGTCTCAGTTGAGTGACTGCCATTGCGTTCCCGCAGGCTTTTCTGCTTCTCCTTTGCTCTCTACATACCATGGCCAATACAGTAACCAGACTGATTCTATTATGAGGTAATGCAGATGAGGTCCTTCCCCTGTCTGAAATCTTGCAAAACTTGTCATCTCGCTCAGATGAGAAACCAAAATCTTCTCTGTCAGCTACCAGCAACTAAATAATTTCCCTCTTCATCATTAGTTCACTGATCTCATCTTCTAGTATCTTCTCCCCATTTCTCATTAAGCTCCAACCACTTGCCATGTTGACCTCCACACCTGGCACCTTGCTGCCTCCAGACCTTGTAACAGCTACGCCCTTTGCGGAACACTGTGTCCCTGGCTTGCTGCTATGTATTTGTCATGTATTTGTTCAAATGTCACTTTCCCAGTAATGGCTAC